TGGCCGCGGACCACGTGTCAGGGGCGGAAAATGGCCACGGACCACGTGTCAGGGGCGGAAAATGGCCACGGACCACATGTCAGGGGCGGAAAAATGGCCGCGGGCTGTGTCACAGGAGGGAAAATGGCCGCGTATCCTGTTTGTACCCCGAGGCGGAGTTCGCAAACTGAGGTAAATTTTTGTAGCCGGAGCCGGTCGTAACCCGAAAAGTTAGTTAACAGAGGTGTTCGTAACCCAAGGTACCGCTGTATTTTAAGAAAGTTCAATCATTAAGTTGTTAATGTTGAATTTTATTTTTTTTTATCTGCACTCAATCGTTATTGATTCTGTGGCGACTGCCTGGACGAGTCCCTGCAGTTTTCAAGGCAAGGGTTTGCCAGTGCCTCCTTCCTAGAGCAGAGCCCAGCTGGCAAGCGCAGGACGTGGGGTTTCCGTTGCTTCGCGCCTTTTTCAGGCGTGCGTGGCTTCCGCGTTACCGGCAACTGCTCCCATCTCCTTTGCAAGGCGCTGCCAGCATTTTTCGTCCCACTGGGCTGAGAGTACCCATTTATCTACTCACATAAGTTTTCAAGCTGCTGGGTTGACAGGAGCTGGGGGGGAGGCAGGAGCTCACTCTGCTGCACGGAGCTGGGCTTGAACCGCTGAAGTGTCGACCATTTCTGGCCAGCAACTTTCAGCATCGTTAAGCTGCTGCACCACCACATCCCCTAATGTTGAATATACTTGCTGGAAATGAAGGGGGAAGTTTCTTACCTTTTTTGGAGGGATTTTTTTTTCTCTACAATTTATTAATATTTTTTTTCTTTTAATGAATTTTTATATTAGGTTCTTGTATTAGTTTTGTTTTATGTAATCTTTAATAAAATTATTGGGGAAAAATGAAAATTATAGTTAAATATATCACTTTTCTAATATTGAATATAAAAATTACATACGTCAAATACAGCCTATGCTTTTTAAATTTAAGTGTTCTGAAAGAATTTTCTGTAATAATTGATTTTGCACATCTGTCTGAAGTAAGAATTTCTACCATACAATGATTAAAGCTTAATTTGTTATGCTTTCTATATTCCCTAAGATTTTTGACCTGGCCTCTAAGAAAACAAGCATTTATATTCAGCAGAACCCATTCCCTTCTCTTGCAGATCTAGACATCTCAGGGGACATGACATTTGTTTGCAGTGCCACAGTGTCTGGGAAAAGAAGACAAAAAAAGCATAGATCTAGATAGTTAGAGGAGACAAATAATACTCAAAGTGAGGGAACTAAGGAAAAGACTGTGTTGACAAGATCAGAGTAAGTGTGGAAAAAAAAACAACGTAAATCATCCACAGTGCTGAAAAAATAATGGTACCAGCTTAAAGACATTTCTATCAAGGTTCATATATGTTTTGAGGCTACAAAACCATGATAACAAAACCTTGAGATTATGTATCTCATATGTAAAAACAGTGCTTCTAAAAAGAGTGTGAAAATTACACTGTCTATATTATACTTGAATGGTGGCATTTATATATTTTATTTCATATGTTTTATGTCAGGGTAACTGCATTATTTTAAGACTTTGTTTATTTAATTGGTTATTTACCAATAAAATAAATCAATAATTTTATTGCTTACTGTATTATTATTTTTATTGTGTTATTATTCTTATATTTATGATTTCAACAATACAGTAAACTGCTTGAAAAACTCTTGTCACTAAATGGATAAAAATATAATAAATAAATTTATTCTCTTACTGGCACAGTGTTGTCATTAATAACTAAGGGAAAATCTTCCAAAGCAAGAGTGAGTAGAACTAATGAAAGTACAAAAGTCTAAAAACACAGTCTTACAGACAGTCCTAAGTAGATGTACAAACTAGTGTTAAAATGGTCACCTTTTTACTCACAGACATACCTTCACCTGCACAATTGTGTGAATTAAAAAAAAAAATACAAGTTTTGAACAGGCATGAACCTTTTTTTCAAGTGCATATGTGTTAATTTAAACCCTGAATAATAGAACTTGACAAATTTGTATTGCTTATATAAAAATATCTTGCAATCTAAGAATACTCAGAATACTTGCCTATAAATTTAAAATTTGTCCCCATCATTCCAGTGTCTACACAACTGCTCCAACACTCTATAAAGTATGAAAAAATGATGGATGCGTGATCGCTGCTTTCCATTGTTACAGAACAGCTGCATTTATAACAAGTTTATAACTTCCTTAAGAAAGAGCTAAAGGTTATTTTGTTTCAGTTTTTTAGGCATTTTCCCAACTAAAGGCTCTAATAGCATATGGTCAGGTTTGGAAGGCATTCATTTTCCTGTGCCAAAAGAACAGATAAGTAAAAAGTGAAAAAAATATTTAAGCCATGGAAAAAGAGCGGATAAACAGCGTGGCAGAACTATTGTCTTGTATCTCAAAGTAAACATAAAAATGTATTTTTATAGCACGTTTTCCTGTTCTTTATCAGATCTCATTAAATGAATTGTTATTGTTCAGTAATTACCGTGGCATTATTTTTATATAAGTGGGTGAATTATGGCAGCAAGTGAACATCTTATGTAACAAATAATCTAAAAGATTATGTCTCCAAATACTTGTGAATTGAAATTCAATGATTCCAAGTGGGACTTGCTAAGAAATGTTACAATGTAATTTTATCTTGTTCACATTTTAATCAGTCATGCTTTTCTTCAAGATACTTCATACTATTCTTTTGTACCACCACTGCAACAGTCACAAAAATTTAATGATGAATCATGTTCATTTCTTATTGGGCTGTTTTACCCTTAAATAATCTCCTGGGGTTCCAGAAAGCTCCTAAGACCTGGCTCTGTTCCCAGACCTGGGGTTAATGTGTTTGTTAATGCATTTGTGGGGCCCTTGTTGTATTCGTACTGTTTATTGTTCTGGTTGCTTTAGTCTGGGCTGCCTTTTTATGTGTTTTAACTGTTTTGTTTTTTGGGAATTCTGTAAGCTGTCCAATCTAAAGGAGTGGGAAGTCATAACAAATTTAGTAAATTAAATTAAATTAATAACAATTCACATATTTTTAATACCATATTTGTGCAACATTGGTAAATGTTTCATTAAAAAAGAAATGGTACTCAGAATCAAAACAGCAAAAATAGGATGTAACAGAAGGAAACTGAACTCAATGAAATGATACACAATCTAATAAGAACCAAGGAACTAGCAGGGAAAGCATAGCATGAAATAGCTAAAATCAAAGAAGTAAGGATAAAAATATTATGGCTAGGAAAGTAAAAGAAAGAAGGCTGAGAAAGAGTAACACATATGAAAAACAGGATACAGATCTTCCGAGATAGAAAATAGATAATTCTATTTTACTTGCATTTTATATTCTACTCTTATGACTAAGGAATAAATGAGCAACAATAACAAGCCATTAATTGATATTTTCCGCAGAAACAAAATCAAGCCTTTCACTTAAAAAAATCGATTCCATCTTTCGGTCTTTCTCTTATACACTGTTTTTCAAGGTTTTTGCAACACATTATTTGCCATTGTATCAAAACTGGCAAATTATTGCTTGAATAAATCATAGCTTGCTCTTAAAATGTGGTTTGGGATTCTGGTCTAAGAGCAAATAATGACTGGCCAAGAACCTGGAAGGATTCTTGAATCTATAACATACAGAAGAGGGAGTAGAGGACTCTGAAGCCATGTTCTATTTATCAATGTAATGTCCAACCATGGCTTAAATATAGCTTATAGGTGCCTACATTAATGATTTCATAGGAGAGAAAATTCTAGTTGTTCTGGAGTAGATACCTTATGTTGTTTTGTTCAGCTAAGCAAATGCTTTAGGAATTTTAAATTCTACAAAGTTCATCTGCTATCAGATCAGTAGCTCCTATATTGGTTTTTGGAATCTTTTAAATTTATATCCTGTTTTAAGAAAAAATGCCTTTTATTATTTCATTAATAATCAATCAATAGTTGCCTGAAGAGTCTGTATAGTTTCAGACGCTCAGCTGCAAATTCAGTAAATGAAGAAACACTCCAGTTTCCTTGTTTTCCTTAACTCATAGTTTGTCATTTGGGGCAGGCTGTAATTTATGAAATGTAGAGTTTTCAGACTGCCATTACACTTATTTATATATGGCTTTAAACTTTCAAAAGAAATGAAAACAATAATTCTTCAGGTATTAGGTTCAGCAGCAGTGTATGTAAGTAGTTATTCCCCTGTTTCACTATACAGGTAGGTAGTCGCTAAATGAGGACTATCTTTATAATATGAACTCTATCAGTTTAACACTTGGGATATTTTTAATGCAATTCTCATGCCCAATCTTCCCCAAAGGAAAGGCCTGTTACACAGACTTTACTATGTCATACTGACAAAACAAAACCATCAGGGCTTGCTTTTAAGATCATTCTGAAAAACTTTAGAATATGAGCTTGACAGCAAGCATAGCTGGAGTGCTGGAAGTGAATAGCAGAAATGGAATTGAAATATATAAATAACCCAAAACATATCTAATGTTACATGGTATTGCTTTTTTCATATAAACTAAAAAAGTTTGCTCACTCAAGGATTCCTTCAAATATAAAAATTCGCTCAAAATATTCTTGCTTACTGCCAGTACTTTTTACCACAGAACTTTTATTAAATGATCCTAATGCTGCTCAAATTAATACTATTACTACTTCTTATAATTACATTTCTGTATTTTCTTTATAATTGCATCTTTCCAAGAGTAATATCTCTTCCCTATAACTACTCTATTAATGTTTTGTTCATGACCATCCATTGAATTTAATAGCTGAAAAATGCACTGAATTTACAACTCTTACACCCAGATGAAACAGCAGCTAGTGAAAAATATCAGACGGCTATACAACACATGTGCTAATGAATGAGCAGGAATCATTCAAATAAATCACAGCTGCCAAACATCTACTTACGTTGCCCACAGTAAGTACCAATATATCCTTTTTGGCACTGGCATTGGTCATCTAGACAGGTACCACCATTCAGACATCTGATGTTACACTGTTGTACTACAGCAAAATGCAGACAGTTAATTGTGCACTAATTTGTTATTTTATATCAGGAAGCCAAAAAGGCACAAATATTAAGAAAGTATGCAAATAATATAAATATAAAATACCATTAAAATATATAACATATTTTAGCATTTTGTGGCCTAGGACTTCAAACTGATTTAAGGTTCTAGTGTAAGAGAACAACAGTTAATTACTTCTTTGTAATTGCTAGTGTACATATAATTTTGAGGACTATCTAATCAGCAGATCTCTTGTGCAGTTCTTTTTTATTAATATCTCTTTCTTACTCTTCCTCAGCACACACACATTTGTCCTTAACATATGCTCCATCTGTTTCCCTCCCTCCTCTCTCCTCAAATGCTGTTTCATATGAGTTTCTTTGCCAAAATAATACACAGGGTGTCTGAATTCTGCATTAATAAACAAAAACTAACTATAACTTTTTCTTCTATAATCAAGAGGTGCTTTCTTCCACTAATTCCTTTGACTACGTCATCCTGATCTCTACACATCTCTATACTTTGAAGTTCCTTATCTTTATCACATCCATTTTATCTTAAAACTCTTTATCATTCTGACTTCAATTAATTTCCACTTTAATTTATTAACTTCACTCCAGTATATATCTAAGCCCTTTTCATTGTTATTTTAAGTATACAAGTTACCTATTTTAGTTATTTACCCATTTAACACAGTTGAAATATTATTCTTCAATCAAGAAAACTTTTCCTACAATGTGGCTCATCAAAATTATAAAACCAGTATTAAAATGCAATAAAACAATGAGATATTTTAAATGATCCCAAGCAAAAAAGATGTATTAGCAAAACAGGAATACAATCAAGTGTCTGAGGGGAAGGGGTAAAAATACACCTTATTACTTACTGTGTAATTACTTTGGGTGAGGTGGGCCTTCAATCACATTGTTGCAATTGTCATTTTGGCTGTTTAGACACACACACACACACACACACACACACGCAGAGATACCCTTGCAATCAACTTGCAATAAATAACTACAAATGCAAGGACAAACCCATGTTGACATTCCAAACTTGTCTTATATGTCTAGTATTATCACATTAGACTCTTATAGCAGAACCTTAGCCATCTCTGTTTATAATGTCTAGGCCATCATCTCACTTTTTAAAAAAACAATTAGTGTAAGATATGAACCCAGTAATTGTGGTTTGTTAAGCCAGAGTTTCTAGCTTTAAAGTGTCACAAAGGACAAATGTGTTTTATTTAGTTAACGATATCATGGCTTAATTCGATGTGTGAACTGAGCCTCTGTAGGCCTGTGTCAGGCAGTTGCTCTTTGCCATAAGCCACATCCAGCATTTCCAGTAACTGGAAGGATTTTTTGTGCATTCCTTGAATATTCACAAAAGTCTGTTCTGGCTACAATAACTGCTGGACAAGGGGTTCAAAACAACAGGAAGGGAAACAATGTGGATGCTTTACTTCACTTTGCTTTAAGAAGGAAGAAGGGGGTATAGTCCTTCATGAGACAACTTTACACAAGCCATCAAAACAAAGTATGTGTTTGAAATATTGCATAGCCCTAATATTTAGGTAGTTAAACATGGGAAAAGTCAGCAACATATTGCTTGCAGTGGTTCTTTACAGTCGTGCATACAGATTTGGGAAGCAACTAAGATAACCAGTGAAATTGGAACAGAATCAGACCATGTTCATCTATTGTCCTATACTATAATGTAATTTGTTTGGTTCTGACTTAGTGAATCCACAGCTGTTTGTCAGTTATGGCTTAGTGTTTACTGTATTGTACAAACATAGCTATTTAAAATTTTCAACAAACTGAAGTTATATTCTGACTTAGCATGATCTGTGAACCCAAATAATGTGTTAAGCTTTTTTTGTGCTTTTAGGCATGGGCAACCAACGTGCAAGTTTAGCCCTTGCTTCCAGTAGGGCTGCCAACAGAAGAGACACAACTGAACAGCAGGAAAATTTTGGACACAAACCAGAACATTCAAGAGAGGGTAGCTGGCTTTACTATTTATCTATTTTTAAATAGAATCCTAGAATAAATTCAATGCCTCTAACCTTAAACTGCAAATGCCTTTATTAAAATATAATACAATGAAAAAGATACTATTTAGGCCTTACTAGATTTTGGTCCACAGCTTGGCAATATCTGTCCACTGGAACAAGTGCACATGTTAGGACGAGAACAAAATCCATCACCACAACTATTTCTACAAATTGCTGTGGAAGAAAATAGTGTATTAGATGACTTGCAATATCACACTGTTAAATAAACAATAAAATGTTTAAATGTTTCAAAAATATAGGATGTAGGCATTTTCCTCTATTTTGAAACTGTATTAGGAATTTTTATTATTTTGCTTTCATTTATACTTCCTTCATTGATCCTATAATTAGAATGGTAACAACAGTTTTCCTTCTAATATGTTTACAATTTTCAATGTGGGTCAAAACACACAAAATTCTATTTCAGCAAATGAGAGATATGCAAATGATATACAGGTAACACAAAGTTAGTATGGAAATCAGAGTCATCCATATCATTTACAGGTAGTCCTCGCTTAACAATTGTTTGTTTAATGATGGTTTGAAGTTACAGTGCCTTGGAAAAAGTGCTTTACGACCTATATTCACACTTACGATTATCGCAAACCGTCGCACCTCCCTGCAGTCACATGATCATGATTTGCAACTTTTTTACGATGGTTGTTAAGCGAATCAACAGTCATTAAGTGAATCACCATGGTCTTTAAGCGAATCATGTGGTCATTAAGCTAATTCCAGCAAAAACGTCCATTGGGGAAACTGGATTTGCTTAATGACGTGATTCGCTTAATGACTGTCATAAAAATGGTTGTAAAATCAGGTCCAGTTACATGGCGACTCACTTAAGCACCCCACTTAACGACCAATTTTCCAGTCCCTATTGTGGTTGTTAAGCAAGGACTATCTATATGTGGATAAAATAGGGTATCAAGTTTTTACTGTCAAAATAATATCTGAGTAGGAAATATGGGGATAAGTAGGACAGGGATGTCTACGAATAAGCCTATCCCGAAGCTGCTACTGCAATCAGTGATAGCCAATGGAAGTTTCCCGCTGAACAACTTCCTAAGGAAAAGATTTCTGTCAGCAGTATGATATGAAAGGGGAAGTCAAGTTAAACCTGTTCCTTTTTACCTGAATTCCAGTTCTATTTCTCCACACAAACTCATTACTATTATTTTGATAATAAAAAGCAGGCTTATTAAATGCATTTATGGATTTAGCATCACATCTGTTTTAGCCCCGCAAGACCAAACTATTGCTTTCCAGCTGATAATGTTATCTTTAAAAAAAAAAACCTTCAGTAATGATATTTTTGTAACCAAAGCATGTTAATAGCTTATTTTTGAGATAAGCTAGATTCAAACATTGTTTAGAAGTACTAATTGCAGATGTATTTCTGGCTTCATTTTGGGAACAATGTCATCTTTTTTCTTGGTTAACAGGCTACACTTACAAAGATAGAATAATGAGACTTTATTATGCTTTAGCCGCCACTTTGCGAACTATAAACTATTCTAGTGCAATATAAATGAATACATAGCCCAGATGCATCCTTTCTTTCACAGATGATTTATTTCTTTACTTCTTCAAAAGAAGTTTATTAGCTTAAAGGGATTTATTTCAAGATAACCCCAAGACACACATATTTTAATTAAATATTTTGGACAGCTAGGGCCATATTAAGCAAAGTAATGACATCAAAACAAGTTGGCAGGGCTGGTATTTTGGTGGAAGGAAGTTGTGGACATTTGTGGAATTTAAGAGATTGTGCTTTAAACCTATCCTGAGAGCCAATTTGGTGTAGTAGTTAAGGCACCAGGCTAGAAACCAGGATGCCATGAGTTCTAGTCCCTCCTTAGAGAAAAAGCCAGCTGGGTGACCTTGGGCCAATCACTCTGTCTCAGCCCTAGGAAAAAGACAATGGCAATCCACTTTCAAAATCTTTCAACATTTAGTCCAGGTAGTCACAAGGAGTCAACGCTGACTTGAATGTGTGTGCACGCACACAGATAAAACCCTATCCTACAAATTCCACTATTTTTTTTGTTGTGGTCATATAAAAACATAAACCCAAACTGCCTCTATGTTTTAGAAGCCAATTTCTGATGAGGCAGAATCTGCAAAAAACAAAAAAAGGAATTTGTAGAGTACATATTGCAACTCCTGGCATAAAACACAATAGCTTCAGTTGACAGACTGTAATTTAAAATCAAGAAAAAATAAGAAAAACAGAAAAGGAAATCTTCATGAATATAAATGTGTTATCTAATGTGTATATAAATAATTGATGGTCTTTATTAACACTGATTTACTCTATATTCCAAGCACATTCTACAGAGGAATTGTTCACTGTGGATCACAAAATATGCTGGGCTTCACTGTTGTTGACAAGTTGTATTACTTTTCAGTGTTTTGATATATGCAGTTATATTATTGCTGTAAAATCTTGAGATATATCTCAACTGATCATCTCTGATATTTGGAATATTATTTAATATTATTAATATTAAATATCTCTTATTAATATTTAATATTCAGATCAGAAAAATATTATGATAAACAAAAAAAGTGAAATATATGGGATAGACCCAAATATATGGGATAGGCTAGAATGGTGTCTGTAGATTCCCTTAGAACTGAGAATACAATTTCATTTCCAATGCAGTTGCCTAATTTTTCATGGTGAAGAAATGACTGGCTGGGAAGATCAAAGTTAAAGTCCACCCTCATTGATTTATTTGGGGCCATGCCTTATCCATCTGTCCAACTAATCTCACAGGGTTGTTGTTTTAAAGATAAAATTAGAGGATAAAATGCTATGAATTTCTAGAAGAAAGGTGGGCTGTACATATAAAGAATGAATAAAATTGAATCTGTTTCTGTACCTGAACTATCATGTACACAGGCATAAGTATATTCATAGATAGTTTTCTTGGCAGCCATCAGCTTCCGTGTCCCTCTTTTTCTATCTTGATTTTTTTTAACTGGGAGGCTCCAGTGCATCCTTTATTTCAGCTCTGGGTGGGATCCAGGGGTATTCTTAAAAAACAGAAACTCTGGGTAACTGGTGTTCAACACTTTCCTTTGAAGCACACCCAGATGCCTGAAGGGGAAGAACAAAGCTAAAGTGGGGTGGTAGGATGCAAGCTGATGAACAGAACAGATAGAGAGCACCTTTAGTAGACTGGAAGCTGTATGTAGCATTGCACTGGGCTGTATGTTTCTCTTTCCTGGTGATGGATCTCTTTTATTTGTTGATATAGTAAGGTTCTTTGAGATTTATGCATGAGTGTACCTATTTGGTGTAGGGCAATATTAGGATTGTGGTACCATATGAGCTTAGTATTTGCTTCATGAACTGTTACTATACTGGTGAAATAACTGATAGGCCTCTATGATAACCACCATAACAGTGCAACCGTAAGTAAGCTAATTACATGATACATTAATTGGATAGCATACAAGTGCCTTTGGGGTTTTTATTTCTCATTCAGAAATAAGCACCCATGTAAAGAGGACTAAACCTATCTCTCAGACTCTACATTTCTGAAAATTCACCTTTGTCTATGCACATATGGAGGGGAGAACTTTCACTGGTACCAAGGGAGTCTCTGATTTTAATCTCCATGTACATGAGAAGAGTAAATTTTCCAAGGCAAAGGCTGTGGGAAAAACTTCCCCCACCCATGCAGTAGCCTTGCTCTGGGTCAATCCACTGTGTTTACTCTACAAGTAAAAAAAAAAAAAGGAGAGCAACCACATACACATAATTTAATGTACTCTATATGCCCCTCAGGGATATGCCCTATTGTATTTAATAAGAGTTATTTGTAAATAAACATACACAGGATTTCACTGCTAATATATAAAATCTGCTCTGCCCAAAAATAGATATAATTTATATATCATTTGGAGATAATAGATAAACAGAAAAATCAGAAGAGAGAGAAAAAAGTATTCTGTCCTATTTATGCCCAAAAGACCCTTATCATTTTTCAAATGTTCTAGAGCTGAAAGCTGATCTCAACCACAGATTGTAGAGGTTTGTCTTGATGAATCCCAGTTCAACTAATTTCCATGTTTTGCCAAAGAAATCAGTAGTCAAATTTCTTAGCACAATAATAAGCTTGGCCAAACAAGCTATCATCAAGCTATTAAAATACTAATATACTAAAATAATAAATATCCTAAATAATAATTCATATTATTTGTGAATTTCAAAAATGGCATCTTTGATCAAATGATTTTTTATTTTTATTACCACATAGCCAATGCTTCTGTTTTAGTAACTGTCAAGCAATTGTTATTTCTTAAACATAAAGTTGAAGCCTAAAATGAGCAATTCAACTAGAGTAAATTCATACTTTTGTTTAAACGTAAGTAGCTATTAAAACTCAAAGACTGCAAAATCTGAAGCCAGAACACTTACGAACAATACACTGATTTCCCCCTGGGAGTGTTTTCCATCCAGGGCAACAGTAGGAGTGGAACCTGGAGCCACACACATTTGGCCTGTTGCATGCAAACAAGTGTATACACAAAAATACAGGTCATTTGGAACAGCCATTCAAATTTTTGCTCTGCAGAATAAAAAAGTTATTGGCTACAAAAATAACAGACAAATTCATACAAGTTTTGTATTTCTAAAAAAACAGATT